GCACTAAGCTTGTCAAAGCACCTAATATGTAGAACCATCTTTTTTTTTTTTTTTTTAAACTAAGACTGAGACTATGACCTGGTAAAGAGGGAGTGACCAAAATTGTAACACAGTAGAGTAAGTAGTACGTTTATGTAGTTTGGAAAGATCCGGCCAACTAACATTGCAATATAATGCATTGCAACAAACATTGCAATATAATAGCTCCCCACTATTTTCCACTGCATAATTCCTGACAAAGAAAAACACACACTTTCCTCCCACATTGAGTCTGTGGTTTGAATTTTCTGACTGTAGATCATTTGTTTTTTGTTTTGTTTTTTTCTTTTTAATTATTTTGCTTTCTTAGAAAATGTCGCACAGATAATTTTTCATACATTATATCAATGCTATGTTACCTGTAGCCTAAAGTAATAGGTAAGACTGTGCCAACTGGGCTGAGCCAGGATTCTCAATGGTTAGTAGTTAAGATGTCATTATCACGACCATGATGAGATCTAACATGATACAATCATCCCATGAGGTGATCTGATGTGATCCATTTTATTTAATTATCCTATATGTTAGAAGCTCTAGTAGAGTAGTGGTTACGAATCAGGTGGTTTAATAAATGTGCTCAGAGAATAATTTCCATCCACCTCCTTTCCCGCCTCCACAGTTCTAATCTACCAGCTCAAAACTACAAGCTGTTCAGTGGGAAAAAGATGAGGCTTTCTGCTCTTGCAAAGATTTGCAGCCTTGGAAACCCTGTGCAGGGTCTCTATGAGTCAGCACTGACTCCATGGTACTTAACAACAACAACAATGAGACCAGATTAAATCTACAGGATTAATTATTCTTTGAGTCAATCTCTTTTGAGATATAAAAGGAGAGACATGAGAGAGAAAGAGACATATTACCACCAAGAAGCAATAGCCAGGAGTATATTATATCCTTTGGACCTGGGGTCCCTGCGTTGTGAATCGTATAGATCCAGAGGAAGATGTATGCCAAGATATATGGAGATCTACAAGGAATCCTGGGACTACAGATGCTAAAAGGTGATTAGGATCTTTCTTCAGAGTGGGTGTTCTTAATTCAAACTTCTAGCCTCCCAAACTGTGAGAGAATATGTTTCTGTTTGCTAACATCATCCATTTGTTTTATAGCAACACTAGACAACTAGTTAGTTTTATAATCCACATATATGCATAAAATTGGTTTATTGCCTTGTGTATAGGAAAGTTGGGAAATGAATAAGGAAGACTGCAGAATTTATGACTTTGAATTATGATGTTGATGAAGAATATTGAAAATATCATGGTGGGCCAGAAGAGTGAACTCTGTCTTATAAGAAATCTCAAGTACTTTGGATATGCATTGTGTGTTAAAGTCATCCATTTGTGGTATGTGTGTTATAGCAGCACTGGATATTTGTGAGGAACCATTTCCTGGAAAAGGACTTCATGCTTGCAAATAGAGGATCAATGGAAAGAGGAAAAGACTCAATGAGATGTCTTGACAGAGTGACTACAATGAACTCAATAATAGGAAAGATTGCAAGAATGGAAGTGTTTGTTCTGTTGTACATGAGGTCACTGTGACTCAGAACCCAATCCAGGGCACTAACAACAGGTAATTTGATAATTTCTGAAATATACATATATATATAACTTTAATTTTATAGTCTGAAGGACCATTTACATAGTGTTTCACATTCTTGTTATATTTACACATATTTGGGACTCATGGATGAGATGAAAAACATAGGATTCTAAACAGTGGGGTTTCTGTTAACATTCTCTTTGGATTTGGGTTTTAAGCAGGTGAAGCTTTGACGAAATCAGAGACTATGGTAGGTTTCCCTTCCTGTATTGTGCTTGTACTTGTGTTACCAAGTTCCTTTTAAATCATTTTTCTATTCATCTTAAACCCTCTGTTAAGATGATTGAATTTTTGTTTTCTATGTTTCTATTTGTTTGTTTGTTTGTTTGTGTATCATTTTACTATATGCTGTTTTTCCTGTTAGGTTTCTAACTTCAATGGTGAGAATGATATGACTATATCATATTAGCCAGATTTTTATTCCTTAACATTAAAATAATATTTTCTTCATACTATGAACTCAATAATTCTATTAAAAATTTCAAAATATATTTTCTTCTCATTTTGGATTTTTTGCAATTTTTTTGGAATTTAAAAAAAAAAAAATGGTACACAAAAATATGTATTTTCTGAGAATGATAGAACTATCAGCCTATGTTTGACATCAGTGTTTTCTACACTGTTTCCATCTGCAATTCTTTCCACTTGAATGCAGATTAAAACATTAGAACTGTGGGGGCGGGGAAGGAGGTGGATGGAAATTACTCTGAGCATATTTATTATGCCAACAATGCAACTTAATGCCTCTTTGATGCTGTACAATTAGATATTAAAATTTATCATAACTAGACATGGTCTCAGTCAGTGGGAAATACTGTAGATGATTTCAAGTAACTTGGGGATAATTTAGCTAGCTGGAAGGCCTAAACCAGTGTATAAAACATTTGGCTAAGGGAAAAAAAAAAAACTGATGTTCTCTTCACATTAATCCTCTGCTTAACTATATAGAGAAATGCAAATTCATATAAAACCTGAAGAGAAAACCAATATTCTATATTACAAAACAAATTTATAAGGATGAGAAATGGTAACTAGAAAAATAATCCTCCAAACCATAATTTACTGACTCTTCTTAAAGGGTTAATTAGCATTGAACGAAGTTAAGATTTTCAGTCACTATGCTTTACTGGTTTAATTTAAATTCCTAATCTTTATTTGAAATCTTTGCCCTCTTTTATTTTCTCCAATTTCTTTCCCTCAAACCAATATTTCTAAAGAGTGCTTGGTGGAAAGAGAGGGTAAATATATCAGCAACAGTTGAATACATTGATCAAGTATTCACTGCAATTCCCCATCTCTAAATTCTGACCACATTTTATATTCTTGGCATCCTTTGAGATTATGCTAATAAGAAGACTATAACATTAAAAAACATTATATATAAACAGTGTCAGGAATAGTTATGGGTAAACAAAAAGAAGATAGATATGAATTTACTAAGCAATAGTGCGTTTACATTTGCATAGTATTTGACTATGCTTCAGTTAAACAAATGGACTCCCTGTCACACATACTTCATAAGGGACAGGGAATTTGATGGGGAATTTCACAGCCAACCATTTACCTTTGGACACTGGATGCATTTGTTCTCTGCATTCTTTGTAGAAGATGAAACAACATAGGAGCTTCTAAATGTGACTGTAACTAAATTCAATCACTACACTATTGCTCACTCAACTTAAAAATATAAATTAAGAAAAGAAAAAATGAACTAAATATATTATGAATAATCTTAAACTTAATTATTAGAAGTAAGAATTTATTAAATATTATCAATATGCATGTTGTAATATTAAAAGGAAATAATTTAAAAATCAAATTAATTGATCTATACTATATAGTCTATATTTTGATATTTAAAATATGCATTTTAATATTAAATACTCTAATAATTTGTACTCTCAAATATTTACGTCATAGATATTTGCATTCAATTTAAAATATTTGTTTTTCTCAAAGACGTTAGTTTTCATTACTTTAAAACATTTATTTATTATGAGTAGAAATCTTGATAAGAATTAATTTTTCCAAGGGTTAATATGATCTCATATGAACCATCTCATTATGGATATATTAATTTTAGACATTCTATATGGAAAAAAAGACTGCCCTTGGTTATGACTGATGTTTGAGATGAAGTCCACAGAAGATGTATAAGATGATAAGTCCAAAACCTGGGCTGCTGAGCACTGTTGTCGAGTCAATTCCCATTCACAGTAATCTTGAATAGGGTTTACAAAGTATGGCTAATGGTTTGGACAGCCAACCTTGTGGTTAGCAATCCAGTGCTTATCCTTTATAGAAACTTTTATTAAACCAACATATCAAAATGTAAAACCAGTGTTTTGCAATATATCCCCCATCTTCTGAGGGCTGTGTTTCCATTTCTCTATTCGTTTCCCCTAAAATTCTGCAATCTTCAATTTGCACGATGTTGAAAAGGCATTTTGGGCATCTTCATGAGAATCAACTAATGTTATTTTTAATTGTTCTTTGTGGTTGGAGAACAAAAAGTCTGAAAGGGCAAGATTAGGGCTGTAAAGTTGATGGGGTAAGGTTTCCCTAAAAAAGTACCCAAATGAAACCAAGATATTACTGAAGAAGCTTACCTGCAGAGACATATTTAAGCACATTTGTTTGGAATAAACCTGTGTGTATGAACTGGAACCCCAGTAGCAATAATTTTGAATTGCTCTTGTATATGCAAAATAATATGGTAGCTCTAATAGCTAGAGAAAAAACGCTTGCTTCTTAATTTACATGATCAAATATAAACAAAATCTATTTTACAAAATTTCCTTTTAAATGGAGATACCCAGTTAACTCAGCCAAGAAAAGGTTTAATGAATTCAGTTTTAGAGAGTCAATAGGTTATTTGTTTATAATTTTAATGGTTGTTATTGTTGTTAAGTGCTGTCAAGTCAATTCTGACCCATAGCGACCCTGTATAGGGTTTCCAAGGAGAAGCTGGTGAGCTTGAACCACTGACCTTGAAGTTCAAATGACTTTGCAGTCTGACGCATTAGCCCACAGCGCCACACCAGGACTCTTAATTTAAATTACACATATTGAAATTTTTTAAAATGTGTTTTTTCTCAAAATTATTAGAGACATATTTTAGGGTACCTGTATCCTGGTTTGGTATTATAGCATAAGCACTGGACTGCTAACTTCAAGGTGAGTGGTTCAAACCTACCAGCCACTCCTATAGTGGGTCACTATAAGTTGCCGGCACTCAACAACAATTGCAACATTTCACTATGATACATAATAAAAATAACAAAGCTAAAAACCAAACAAAAAACAGCTGCAAAAAAAAAAAGCTGGAAAAGCACTCCACTTATGGGGATACTCACTTAGCATGGCGAATATCTGGCAGGGACCTCTCTAGAGCAATATTGTTGCTGACAAAAATATTAAATCCATTCTCCCTGTAAGCTGAATCATCATGATCCTCTTCAGTGAGGGGATATGGTTTCCCATGTTCACCTTTCCCTAGCAGGAGAAAGCAAAATGGGATTAACATCTGTATAAACAACCATTCCCTGGATGATTCTAACATTAACACTCAGATGCTATCAGAAATTGAAGCTTCAAGTTAACTCAGAGGTACCCAGGAGGAAAGACCTGGGAAGCTCTTATCAATCTTCCCTTGATAAGTCTATGCAGCAGTTCTCCATGACACATATGGGGTCACCAGGAGTCAAAATCGTCTCCACAATAATCATTTTTTTCTAAAAGACCATTTCATATAATAGCACAGCTAATAAAACTTGAATGTGTGTGTTTCTTTGATCACCTATTATCTTACAGAAGGCTCTTGTAGCAAAATTTTATTTATCATGCTATACTTTTAAAATATTTTCTACTTAGAATAGCTACAACCAATATTAACAACAAACAACAGTTGAAATAGTAAATTGCATATTCCAGAGAGACTGACTGCTAAGATTTTAAATGTACATAAGCAGATATTGTTGTTGTTGTGTGCCGTGGAGTCGGTTCCAACTCAAAGCGAGTCTGTACAGGATTTCTGAGGCTGTAAATCTTTACGGGAGCAGAATGCCTCATCTTTCTCCAGTGGAAAAACTGGTGGTTTCGAACTGCTGGGCTTGAGGTTCGCAGCCCAATTCGTAACTACTAAGCTACCAGAGCTCCTAGCGTTTTATTATTTAAAAACTGTTGTTGTTGAGTTCCATGGAGTTTTTCCCTACTTATAGCAACCCTATGCACAACAGAATGAAACACTGCCTTGTCCTGTACCATTTTCACAATTGTTATGTTTTAAGCCATTGTTACAGCCAATGTCTCAGTCCATATCATTGGAGTATTCCTCTTTCTTACTGACCTTTTTCAAGCATGATGTTCTTCTCTAGGAAAGGATCCCTCCCAACAGCATGTCCAAACAATGACACAAAGTCTCACCATACTTGCTTCTAAAGAGCATTCTAATTGTACTTCTTCCAGTACAGATTTGTTTTTTCTTCTGGCAGTCCATGATGGTTTCAATAGTCTTCTCCAACACCATAATTTAAATGCATCAGTTCCCCTAAGGTCTTCCTTATTCATCATTGAATTTTCACATGGCTATGAAGTGATTGAAAACTTCATGGCAAAGATGCACCTTAGATCTCAAAGTGATGTCTTTCCTCTTGAACACTTTCAAGACGTCTTAAGCAACAGATTTGCCTAATGCAATCTGTTGTTTGATTTCTTGACTGCTGTGTCCATGAGCATTGATTGTGGATGCAAGCAAGATAAAGACTTTGCTATCTTCAATCTTTTCTCCATTTATCATGATGTTATTTATTGATCTAGTTGTGAGGGTTTAAAAAATAGATTCTAATATATAAATTGTTTTATAATTTAAATTTTCCTAATCTAATTGTTGGAGTTCTGATATAGTACTGTAGCATAAGCACTGGTCTGCAAGGTGGCAGTTCAACACACTAGCCAATCCTCAGAAACCTTATATAGCATTGCTATGAGTCAGAACCTACTCCATGGCATTAATGACACCAACCTAATTGTATATCAGGAATCATAGTGTAGCAATGTTGGATAAGCACTAGGCTACAAACCAGGAGGTCAGCAGTTCAAACCTACCAGCCACTTCTCAGAAACCCTATCAGTCAGAACCAATAACAACAATTGTATATTAAGCCATCTTTCATTTATCTTCAACAGTTGACTTATTTTATTGTATCCAAAATTAAACCATTCCACTCTTATTCCAAATTTTCCTAATTATAGCTTATTCCTAGTTTTCCCCAATACAAAAAGATGTTTCAATGAATATTTTAGTTCATATTTTCCCACTTACTCGTGCTTCTTCTTCTGGTTATTAACTGCCCTTGAGTCACTTCTGACTCATAGCAACTCTGAATAGGGTTTCCAAGGCTATCAATCTTTTATGGGAGCAGAAAGCCTCATCTTTCTTCCCATAAGATGGGCTGTAAAGTGATTATCCTACAGAGCCACTGTACTTAGAAGGGGAAATGTATGCTTAGAAAGAGAAAATTAATTCCTGGAAATAAACTAGCTAAAATATCTTCAAAATGAGTACGACAGTTTCACATATCCTCAGACACTTAAAAAAATATATATATGTATATACATATATATATATACACACACACACACATACTCTTTGCAGTATTGTTCATGTCTTGTCATAATCTACACAGTTGAAAGCATTTGCACAGTCAATAAAGCATAGGTAAACATCTTTCGGGTATTCTTTGCTTTCAGCTAGGATTTCTCTGATGTCAGCAAAGATAGTCTTCATTCCACGTGCTGGTATGAATCTGGCTTGGACCACTGGCAGTTCTCTGCCAATGTGCTGTTGCAGCAGTTTTGGAGTTAGTTTTAACAAAATTATACATGCAGGTGATATTAATAATATTGTTTGATGATTTCCACTTTCCATTGTGTCATCTTTCTTTGGAATGAGTCAAATATTGATCTCTTTCAATCAGTTGGCCAGGTAGTTGTCTTCCAGACTTCTTGTCATAGATGAGTGAGTGTCTCCAGTGCTACACAGTGTTGAAAATTTTAATTTGGATTCTATCAGTTCCTGGTACCTTGTTCTTTGTCAATACCTTCAGGGCATATTGAATTTCTTCCTTTATGAAGAAATCGGCTCTTCATTATATGCTACCACTTGAAATGCTTGAACAAAATCCATGTCTTTTTGATAAAGTGACTTGATATTTCTTCCATCTTTTGAGGCTTTCTGTATCATTAAATATTTTGCCCTAGAATTCTTCAGTATTGCATGTCATGAATTTGTTTTTAGCTCAGTTTTTTTCAGGTTGAGAAATGCTGAGCATGTTCTTCCTTGTCAGTTTTCTAACTCCACATCTTTTCATATTTCATTATAATATTTTACTTTATCTTCTAATCTGCCCTTCAAATTTTCTATTTAACTCATCTACCTCTTCATTTCTTCCATTTGCTTTAGCATCTCTAAGCTAGAGGGCAAGTTTCAGAATCTCTACCAGCATTCATTTTTGTTTGTTTGTTTTGTTCTGTTTTTGTCTTCTTAATGACCTTTTGCTTTGTTCTTGTATGATGTTCTTGATATTATTCACAACTCTTCTAGTTTTCAGTCATTTGTATTGAATTCATCAAATCTGTTCTTGAGGTGACCTTTAAATTCAGATGAGATATATTCAAGGTCATAGTTGGCTCTTGTGGATTTGTTTTCATTTTCTGCAGGTCCAGCCAGAAGTTGCATGTGAACAATTGAAGGCCTGTTCACAGTTTTCCTGAGGCCTCATTTTGGCTGATGATATGGAGCATTTCCACCTTCTCTTTCCACAGATGTAGTCAATATGACTTTTTTGACTTCCCTTGTGGTGAATTCCATGTGTTTAATTGACTTATTTGTTGCTTAAAAAAAGCTATTTGCAAAAAAAAAAAAGGTATTTGCGATGAAGAAGTCTTGTAAAATTCTACCATGTGCTCTCCAGCATCATTTCTATTTCCAAGGCCATGTTTTCCAACTATTGATCTTTCCTCTTTGTTTCCAGCCTTTGAATTTCAATCACCAGTGATTATCAATACCTTGATTACATGTTTGATAAATTTAATACTGAAGAAGTTGATAAAATTCTTCAATTTCACCATCACTGGCTTTAGCGGTTAGTGCATATATTTGAATAGCAGTGTTATTAACTGGTGTCCTTTCTGGGTATGTGGAATATCCTGTCACAGACAGCATTTTATTTCAGCATAGATCTTGAGATGTTCTATTTGATGATGAATGAATACACCACCATTCCTCATCGATTTGTCATTCCCAGCATAGTAAACCATGTGATTATCATAGTCAAAATGACCAATATGAGCCCATAAGTCACTAATGTATGGGATATCACTATTTATGTGTTCCATTTAATTTTTGCCAACTTTCAACTTTTCTAGATTCATACTTCATACATTACATGCTCCAGTTATTAATGGATGTTTATGGCTGTTTCTCCTTATTTTGGGTTGTGTTCCGTCATCAAATGAAGGTCTCAAAATTTTTACTCCTTTTACAAAATTATGGTCAACTCTACTTTGAGGAAGGAGCTCTAGTAGCGTGTTAAAGAATCTGACTGCTAACCTCAGGGTCAGCAGTTCAAAACTACCACCTGTTCCATGGGAGAAAGATGAGGCATTCTGCTCCCGTAAAGATTTACAGCCTCAGAAACCCTGTTGTTGTTGTTGTTGTTGTTGTTGTTGTTGTGAAGTGCTGTCGAGTCGATTCCGACCCATAGCGACCCTGTATAGGGTTTCCAAGGAGCGGCTGGTGAGCTTGAACTGCTGACCTTGAAGTTCAAACGGCTTTGCAGTCTGGTGCATTAACACACAGCGCCACACCAAGAATCCCTGTAGAGGGTCGCTATGAGTTGGAACTGACTCCACGGAACAACAACAACAACAACAACTTTGAGGAGGTAGCTTTTCCTCCCGTCATATTTTGAGTACTTTCGAACCTGAATAGCTCGTCTTCTGGCAACATATTTGACAATGTTCTGGTGCTATTTATCATCATGTTTCAATATTTTCAATATTCTGGTGCTCTCTGACACTGTTTCACTGCTATTCATAAGGTTTCAAGAAGCTGAACATTGGGAAGTATTCTCTCTCCTTCTTCTGTATTAGTCTGGAAGCGGAAACCTGTCCACCATGGGTATCTCTGTCATCATTCAAAATACCTGTGTCATAGTTTCCAACATCACAGCAATACTCAAGGCATCACAGTGTGACAAACTGGTAGCTGAGTGGTAGGGCCCTGGTGTGGATAAGTACTGGACTGCCAACCACAAGATTGGTCATTCAAACCCAGCTGCTCCTTCCTTTGAAACTCTATATAGGGTTGCTATGAGTAGAAACTGACTCGAAGGCAACCAATCTTCACAACAGCAATACATTGATTCTTGGAAGTACTGGGCTGCACAATTGGTTTTAACCATAAGGCTGGTAGTTTGAGCTCACCAATCGCT